GGCTGAGGCTGGAGGATCATTTGAGCCCAGGAGTTCAAGACCAGCCAGCACAGTGAGACCTCATCTCTACAAAAAATTAAAAAGTTAGCTAGTCATAGTGGTAAGTGCTTGTAGTCCTAGTTACTTGGGAGGCTGAGGCAGGAGAATTGCTTAAGCCCAGGAGTTTGAAGTTACAGTGAGCTATGACTACTCTGTTGCACAACAGCCTGGATGACAGAGTGGGACCCTGTCTCTCAAAGAAAGAAAGAAAGAGAGAAAGAAAGAAAGAGAGAGAGAAAGAAAGAAAGACAGACAGACAGACCAAAAAAAACCAAATAAAAGTAAAAAAAGAAAAAGAAGAATAAAAACGTTTACTAGAACTTACTGTAAAGCAAAGTTTCTCAACCTCATCATTATTGAAATTTTGGACTGGATAACTCTTTGTTTTAGGGAGTTATCCTGTGCATTCATCAGCATTGCAGAATGTTTAGCAGCATCCTTGGCCTCTTCTCACTAGAGGCCAGTAGTAGTCCTCAGCTGTGACAACTAAAAAGAGTGTCCAGATATTGCCTTGGGGAAAAATCATCCCTAGTTGAGAACCACTGGTATAAAGGAATGCATGCATGCATGAATGAATGAATTGATGAATGAATGAATGAATGAATGAGTAAATGATGAACAGACTCATTCAGAAATGCAACAGATTTCCAGATCCTTGACTGATATGGAAGTGGTTCTTTTGGTTTATTCATTTATTCTGATTCTCTGTTCACCAAACGTTTATTGAGGGCCTGCTATGGGAAGAGGTCAGGGGTGCTGCTTCATAGCCTGCAATCCTCAGGGGTCCTGTGCTAGGCATTATAGGTTAAGGCTGAAGAAAATATGTATTAGCCTCAGCTTATTGTGCTCTGGAAAGGAGGGCAATTTGAGTGCACATTTTGGATCAAGCTTACCCTGCCTGCAATACCTCCCTGGTTCTTCCCTGCTTTTCTGCCTCTTAATTATCCTTTACAACTGGTTCAGCAGAGAGGGTCCAGAACCAGAGTTCTCTCCCCACACAGCTTTCTTAATGCATCTTACATTGGTCATTTGGCTTTTACATCTACATATGTTATTGGTATTTTAATCCTTTCAATATGTCTGGATTTCCTAAATAAAGGTCTTGAAGAAGTTTATTAGAGGGGGATAAAAGTTCTTAGACAAGAATATAGTTCTAATCCTACTTCTGCCGTCAGTTTAGCTTTCTGACCTGGGCAGGATGCCTAATTGCTGAGGCTTCATCTGTAAAATGGAAATGGTTTTACCTGTTGTACAGCTACCTTCCAAAGATATTAAGAGTGTTAAATAAAATAATGGATAGAAGTATATTTCATACATTCAAAAGCACTATGCAAGTGTAATATACTGGCATTATCAGCATTGGGAATAATAATAACAAACGTCTTGAGGCAGAGACTGTATTTTATATGACTTTGTATCTGTAGAAACTGCCACATGGCTACATATCTGTAGTAAGCTCCACAAATGATACTTGGTGATGCTGATGGTGTCTTGTGAAGTGTGGATCTCATTCATTACATAAACTTGTTATCTCTGATTATACACTAGTCAATAAGTAGTTGTAGAGTCAAATTGAATTTCAGATAATCATCCAAGAAGTCTGTATTATTGCTCATGCATATGTATGCTGGCACCTTCCAAAGCTATGAGTTGTAAATATTCTCCATGAAACATATTTTAAGGATCTAATGGTATCTTATGAATTTTTATTGAGAACTTTAAAGAATATTTTATTTCATACAGGAACACATTAAATAAGGTAGAAATTCTGGTAAGATTTCACTCTGAAGTATATTAAGATTAAAAGTAATGTATTTTCAGCACTTGGATAGATTCTTTTCTTTTTTGGTTTTATTCTGAAAGAAAGTGACACATCGTCTAGAATATAGTAAGAGATTCATCTATCTAAAATACTCATTTTTTCCCAGCTATTGCTTGAGTTTAAAAATTATTTTAGCCAATATATAAATTCAATTTACTAAAATTTGCTATTGCAAAACTCACAGTTGGTTTTGCCTTCCTGATATTGGCCTATTTCTTGGTAATGCTAAAATTGGACACCATAGTAACAAATTTGTTTTACTAAAAATATTGAGATAACACAAATAAGACATTAAGCAAACTGATGCATTAGCTGAGTTGACCTTTCTTGAAAAATAAATACTAAGGAAATATTTTAAGGGAGTTCCTTTTTGTTTTCTCAACTTAGGTTTCACTTCCAGTCAAATATTGCTTTTGTTTAAAAAGAATTAGGTTAATACCTGTTAAATGTGGTAGTAAAGTTTTACTACATATAATTAAGTTGTAAAACTAAATGGACTTTATGGATATAATCTCCAATATAAGCTTTTATATATTTTAATGAAAAATAACTGACTAGCTTATGGTACTAAATACTATACTAGTTACAAAGCTTTGACATTTTTAGTTTGTTTTTCTAAAATGAGAAATACACGATGAGGTTTTTTAAAAGTTCATAAAAAGGATGATGGATGTTGTATTTAATTAGTATAGCACAGAAATTTTTCTCTAAATAAATTCAGATTCAGAGAACATTTACCGACTGTTTTCTATGGGCCAAATATTGTATTATATTAGCTGCTTCTTCATATATGGTCATTTAATCTTCAAACAATCCAACGATGTCATCTTCAGTAGAGAGAAGAAGAATCTAAAGTCGTTGAGTGGAGTAACTGGCATAGAGTTACAAAGTTTAAAAAGTTCCAAAGCTGGAATATAAACCTAGATTTTCTTATTGTGAGGTCAGCGTTCTCACCAGCACATTTATTCAGGATGCTGTGAAATTAGATGCCATTATGGTAGTATTATAACCTTTCCCAAGTCTCATGTGCTAAGAACTATTGACCTCAGGCAGGACCAACAGACATGTCTATAACTTCTAAAGTTTCCCTGAATTTGACAAAACAATGATTACTTATGGAATGCCTATTTGAAAATGTTTATTGATTACTCTTTTATTTCAATATGGTAGGATGAACTTGAGATTTTCATTGGTTAAAATTGGTGATTTGCTTCTTAAGTTATCATGCAGAGGACAAATATAATATACTCAGTGGTTAGATTGAAACCAAAGCTTCACTTCATTCATTGATTATTTTGTTCATCTATACGCTTCTGTTTACAAATGCAAATTCATCAAATGACGAATTTAAAGAGGCATTTCCGTAATACTAAACCTACCTTGTGATCAGACATGAGTGATTTTTTTTTTTTTTTTTTTTTTTTTAAGTAGCCAGCAGTCCATTGTTTATTTGTTGGAACTAGCTGAGCCTGGAGTGTAAAATATGCTGGGAGCTCTTAGACAGGGCTAGGGAATGATGGGGGATAGTTAGGACAGAATGATTGGCCAGTTCTAGGATGATACCACATTTTAAAACCAAGAGAGCTGGCAAAGTCTCATCCAATTCAATTAGATCCAAGAGATCAGGGCTACTGACAGAGCTTGGTCAAGGCAAGTCTCAGCATTTAATGGATGTCCTAGTGGATTAGGGAGGTTATAATAATAATAAGTATTACTAATTACTTACCTAATATCCTTTCTGTCTCTCTTCCTTAAAAATGATGGTAGAGACCAGTTGTGGTGGCTCACGCCTATAACCCCAATAATTTGGGAGGCTGAGGCAGAAGGATTGCTTGAGACCAAGAGTTCAAGACCAGCCTAGGCAGCATGGAAACACCCCAACTCTACCAAAAATTAAAAAGTAGCCAAGTATGGTGGCATGCACCTGTAGCCCCAGTAACTTGGGAGGCTGAGATGGGTAGATCACTTGAGCCTGGGAGGTCAAAGCTGCAGTGAGCCATGATTGTGCCATTGCACTCCAGCCTGTGCAACAGAGAGAGACCCTGGCTCAAAAAACAATGGTGGTAGAAACTGATATTTAGCTACAATGTGCATTTTCCCTTCTTCCAGAAGTAGAATTCCCAAATGTTAGCTGGCTGCATGGTCACCTTGAATTTATTTCTCGGCATCCCTTGCAGCTAGGAGCAGCTATGTGATTAAAATCTAGTTAATATGTTCAAGCATAGTGACACATGAAACCATTAGGAAGTATAATTAATATCTCCTGACTCTCTTTCTTCCAGCTATTTGGATTGTACATGTGACAACTGGGCAGGAGCAGCCATTAATGATCATGAAGTGGAAGTCCCATGATGGGATGGTAGAACCATAAGGTAAAAGGAGTCTGAGACCTGGTGATCATGGAGCCTCCAAACCAACCCTAGACCACCTACATTAATGTGAACTTAATCCTAATTAATACACAAATGAAACTCTTATATTATTGTGAGTGGCAGTGTGTCCAACAATAGAACTGTACTCCCCAGCCCCCCTTGAAGCTGTGCATTTCAATGTGTCATTGAAATAAAGTAGAAATTGTGCAGAATTCTGAAAATAGTTCTTAGAAGGGATATAGACAGTTGGAGAAAGTCCCTTGGGTCTTCTTTGCTGATTCTTTTCTGCTGTCTGAAATGTGGATGTGATGAGTGGCACTCCAACAGCAATTTTGGACCACGAGAGTCCTCGAGAAGCAGAAAGATAGGAGGAGGCTGAGTTCCTTGATGACTTTGTGAATCCAACTTACCAGTATGGGACCACATACTTTTGAACTTCTTTTATACAAATAAACAAATCTTTTGGTATTTAAGCCACTTTATTCTGGGTTTTCTATTAACCTGTTTGATAGAGAGGTTCATCAGAGTTAACTAGAAGGCACAGGAAACATGAATCAGCACCAGAGAACTGGGATGTGTGACTTTTGTCTAGTCTCGTTGGGAAACTGGAGTGGAAGGTGCAACCAGGAATCTGGCAGACTAGTCAGGTTCAGTGTTGAAACTCCAGCACAATGCATGGGTGTGAACCATCTGGGTCACAATCACTGATGGGGAAGAAGCAGCTATTGTGCTGTCAGGCCAGGTATTCCTTGTGCAGTAGACAGCTGGCCTTGCAAGGGCCAGACATGGGTTGAGCAGAGGCAGAGGCAGGCAGAGCTGACATAGCCCATGCCTGTTTCAGAGATGGTGAAAGCAGAACTATTCTGCTGAGCCTCTCTTTCTCTTCTTGGGGCTGTCTGTAAGCAGCTGGCTGACTCTAATATCCAGGCTTGTGAGAATCAGCTCTGTTCCTCTCTCTGTCGTGTGTGGGCCAGCTGCATCCCCACTGGTCCTCATTTCCCCTGCACTGAGCTCATTCACTCCCTGGGGATTAATTTGACTGTGAATACTGTGGACTCTGAAGTGTGGGAAAACTGGAGACACAAACAACAGAAGCCTTAATGCTACAGGGGCAGAGAGTAGCATCTTTTCCTTGGTTAGCATCACATGAGACCTGGCAGGCCGTTTTGTTGCTGGTGACATTCCGTAATCAAAGACACTTCTACCCAGTGACTCAGGGAGGCAGCCTGCTGCTGAGCAAAGAGGAGGCAGGTCTGCAAGCTGGAGTTCAGAGAAACTTAGGATCGTATGAGGATGATCAGTCCAGAGCTCTCAGAATCAAAGAGGTAAGGTGAGTGGAGGCACACTGTGAAACAGAAAACAACATGAAGATTATTGTCATTTTATTAATGAAGAGAGTAACCACACAAGCAATTCTCTTCCCCATCATTACTGAGAAGATGCCTTCTTGTTAATTTCTTCCCATCAAGGCTGCCTTGGGATTCATTGTAAACAAAGTTCTTGTAGACTTGTTTTAAAATTGGGGGACAGAGATATTTAGATTGATTTGCCTCAAAATCTCTACCTTCCCCAGAATGACCTGTACAGAATGCTATTGCAAACGTAACTGACAACTCAGTATACCTTCAAAATTGACCATGCTAATGACGGGATATACTAATTGTGTATAATACACAGTAATCATGTGCCTCATGCACATGCTAACCCCATTTACTATTATCTACCTCATATCTAAAAGTCTCTTATACTGTTTATATGTGTTATGTGAAGAAATAGAGATAGAATAATTTTGGGAAACACTGGGTTAAATGAAGCTGAGCTGAAAAATTGTTACTGAGGGTGTGAGACCGGGAGAGGTGGGCTGCCTACTGTGAGTTCTGAAGCGAGGGTTTTCATTGCTCCCTGGAAGGAATTTGGCAGGATGGATAATTATTTTCTCTGCCTCCATTGGTTGGATAACAGGCTTCTAACCTGGGCTTGCCTCTTCAAATGCTTTCTCCTGAAATGGTTCATCGGCGGAATGTCACAAAGGGAAAGGGAGAGATGAGATGACTTGCAGTGGCCCCGGCCATGCCCGAGCCAGGTGATTTCAGTGATTTTCTGCCTCTGACACTCTTGGTTTTCCAGTCTTCTCACCTATTCTGGTAGTTACTTCCAATCCTCTCTGTGATTCCCTTTTTTCTTTGGTTAGGTAGCATTTGTCTGGCTGCCTACAGCTAGGAACATTTATTAATGCAGAACTGAAGTGAAGTTCCTTACTGCTCAACTCTCACAACCTTTAATATACTAGATGCAAATTAAAGTTCATAATTCTCCAAAACAGGGCTCAGGAAGGTGGCATTTTCTAAAAGCATTTGATCCAGAAGCCCTGCCTCCACACCCACATCCACCTCCCAATGGACTCCCAATTTCTCATTTTTTTTTTTGAGACAAGGTCTCACTCTGTCACCCAGGCTGGAGTGCAGTGGTACGATCTGAGCTCACTGCAACCTCTGCCTCCCAGGTTTAAGTGATTCTCCTGCCTCAGCCTCCCGAGCAACTGGGATTACAGGTGCATGCCACTACTGCCCAGCTAATTTTTGTATTTTTAGTAGAGACAGGGTTTTACCATGTTGGCCAGGTTGGTCTTGAACTCCTGACTTCAAATGATCCACCTGCCTCGGCCTCCAAAAGCACTGGGATTACAGGCGTGAGCCGCTGCGCCCAGCCCCCACAACTTCTCTTAGCATTAGTCTTCTGCTGAACCACTGAACACATTGGGGGAAATGCTGATTTAGTGAGTCACTGCTTAGTTGATCAGAAAACATCTTGGTGGTACAGAAGAGTTCATTTAACTAGAAAAGGTAAATAATTTTCTTCCTGCTTGTAATAAATCCGTGATCTTATAATAGATTATGTTCTTATGATGGATTTGTAGTGAATGCTTCTCTCGACGACCATCAGTGGCCTCACTCTCATACATTGTCTCATGTCTAGCCTCTGTTCTGGCCATGAGATCCCAGGACTATTGTGGATGCTTGTGGAGCAATTTGTAGAAGCCAAAATACATCTTATTTTTACCTGACCCATTACATCTGCTAATGACTTAGGTCAACTGGGTAAGCAATGTGGTCATTCATAATTAATTTTGCTGTTCATTATAGCCAATTATTTTAACTGCTGGATCATTTGTATTTTTATACAATCTGCAGTCTTCCAGGAACATACACAAGCTTAATGGATTGTATAATGTGCATTCCCTGATCCATGATTAACATGCTGTTTAATGAGTACAATTTTAAGAAAGTTTAAAACTTTAGGTCCCTGGCTTCTTCTGCAAAACCAGGCACTGGAATGAAAAGTTTGCAACAGTAATGAGTTTTGAATACTTTACATGAAAGATTATTCTTACATAAACGAGATTCTCCTTGCAAGCTAGGAACATCCCACCCTTACATAGCCATCCGGAGATGCCATTGAGCAGGCCAGTACTGGGAAACACAATATTAATGCCAAGTTTGGGTTTACAATACTGGATACTCTGATTTAGTAGGTCCAGGATGTGTGAGGCATGAGCTCTTCCAAAAAATGTACCAGGAAATTCTGACACAGAGGTTTGTGGTTTGCACTTCTGGAAATACTAAAATTTTTTGAGATTTCTGAAGTGTGCAAGGAACTGGCTCCCCCAGCTGGGAAAACTGAAGGCCTAGTGATTGTTCAAGGACAACTGAGCACTAACTAGTTTCTCTCTGTGGAGAAGGATATGGGTTTGCTAAAGCTGGATTTGGTTCAAGAACCAGGAGAATCCAATATTTGTAAACGTTTCCTTAATGCAAGCACATAGAGTGTTAGTTTAAGTTTGTCTGGAATGGAAAGTTTGTCTGGAATCTTGGCTATGGAAGGCTGTGGTGTAGCAAAAACTGAGCTTTCCAGGTTTCATTAGAGCTTACTTTGTGTCGATGCTGTCTCCAACAGCTGGCCATGTCTCCCTTTGAGCAGTTCCAGGAACCATGAGAAACATATGCTGAAATATGTTGTACCTGCTTCTGTGTGTGTGGCTGTCATGCTTCCAATACGTTTCTGTATCTTGGCGAGGTACACTGAGCACTTAATCCAATGTGATAGACTGGTATATGTGTGTGAGCCCAAAATGCTGGGGAGTGAAATGATGGACCACTTTTATCTTACTCTAGTTCTTGACCCCTCCCATTGAAGTGCCAGGAGAAGGATGATGGTTAATAATAAGCATCATTCATGCAATCGCATAACAATTTCTGAGTATTTGGCTTTGCTTCTTACTGGTAAGTCTGGGCAGTTACTTAACTTTTGCAGTTTCTCAGCTAAAAAATAACCTAATGGCCGGGCGCGGTGGGTCAAGCCTGTAATCCCAGCACTTTGGGAGGCTGAGACGGGCGGATCACGAGGTCAGGAGATCAAGACCATCCTGGCTAACACGGTGAAACCCCGTCTCTACTAAAAAATACAAAAAACTAGCCGGGCGAGGTGGCGGGCGCCTGTAGTCCCAGCTAATGTAGTCCCAGCTACTCGGGAGGCTGAGGCAGGAGAATGGCATAAACCCGGGAGGTGGAGCTTGCAGTTATCTGAGATCGGGCCACTGCACTCCAGCCTGGGCGACAGAGTGAGACTCCGTCTCAAAAAAAAAAAAAAAAAAAAAAAATAACCTAATAATGGTACTCCACTTTTAGGGCTGTTGGTAGGATTCAATGTGATAAAGCATGTAAAGTATTTAACGTGCTTCCTGGCTTATGGGACCCAAACGATGTTAGCCATCTCCCTTCTTCCTTTCCCTCTCTTATCTCTTTCTCTCTGGACTTCCCTGCCCACCCCATTTCCTGACACCTTCTCCTAAGCGACAGGCAGTTCTGTAATTTCTATTTTAAGAAGGAGGTTTGGGTTATGTAAACAGGTTGGAAGATGAAGAGGATTGAACTAGGGAAACGATCTTAAGGTTGAGTTCGCCAAGTACAGTTTTCCCTTGGATTATGTGTTTATTCGGGATGGCTCAGGTTGAGACACTGCAGTGCCCACAAGGCATTCCTTGGCACCACCAGGTTCTATGCCACGGACCTTAGGAGACACAAAGGTTTTGGATACACTCCCTTTCCTTAAGGACTATGGCCTAGGGAGACATTTGTGATTTGGTTGGCTACTCAGTACATAAGGCAATTTATACTACTTATGTTAAAACAGAGGTACTCTTGGCCGTGGAAGCATGGAGAAAGGAGCAATGAATTATTGAACAATGTATTATCTCTATATTCAGAATCAGAAATAAAAGGATCTGTCTGCTAAAAATAACAATACATTCATATGTATATTGCATCTGGTAGATGATTAGGGAATATATAAGCAAAGGCAATACTGTATGTATCAAAGTATATCTACAGGATCAGGGAGAGAGTGGTAGCAAAAAGGACCTGAAGAACTTCTTCACTACAGAAGAGTTCTGATTTCACACACAAAGCCTTGTTAAGAGAGTTCTGCTCTCATGCAGAAGTAGTGAAGGTGAAGTTGAGACACACCAGGGGAAACCAGTGTTTGCCTTTAGTTGTAGGCAATAAATTGTATGGGAAATGCCAATTTCAAAATCCCTCCTTTCTACATGATTCAATGTGAGTAAGACAGAATCGTTGTCGTTGACTATAAAATCCATCTCAAAGACTCAAAAATCATTAATGTCCAATAATACTGATTTGTTTTCTGTTAAATCTGGGTCTTGCGGCTTCTATAAGTCTTTCCTTTGGCAGAAAATTCAATAATTTATTATCACTGAAGGTAAAAATAGTCTCAAAAATGTTTAGTTTGGCTTTGGTGTTATACACATTTAGTTCATAAAATTCTAGTTGTGTCTCCATAATTCTTTACTGGAGAATTAATTAAGTTTCTCATTTCTGCAATTTACAACTTGACTATGTTTTTGTTGGAAGTCTGGTGGGAATTCTGATTTATTTTTGGTCTTCACTTTATGGGAGCAATTTCTATGTTAAAACTTTCAGAATAGAGAATCACAGGACAATAATGCTATGATATGGCAACCAGTTTTTCTTGCTTATTTGTTTTAATGAAAATAAGATTGGCAACACCAAAATCTGAGAGAATTAAAAACGAACAAACTTTTTCCTGGAAGTTTTCATCTGAAAAAAATTGTGCTGATTTTTAGACGGAAATCTCACATCTCAAAGTACTTTTTATTGAACAACAAATACTATCTTATCCAGCAGTTAAAAAAAAATTCCACAATATAAAGATATTCACTGGGGAAGGTTCACAGAACACATAGGCGTGGAATTTTGAGAGAACCGTAGGAAAATTGCATTTTTAATGA